CGACGTGTCAGTAGTTTCCATTTATTTTCCAATATCCCAATACCCCAAGATAGCCCCAATTCAGAGTAGTTTCCATGTTCTTTTCCATTCTCCCCATATAACCTCAAGAGGACAGCCATAATTAGGCCATAGAGGTGCTCGAAAGCCCAAAACCGACGAGGGGTGCATGCTTGCTTTGGAAGCAACTGCATGGTCACACTAGCAGTGGAATTGCTCCCGCAGCCAAAGTTCTAAACCTCGGGCTTCTACGTAGATTTCCAAAATGAGAGTTGCCCTGAATCATTCCCAAGAAATATTTTGTGCAAAGGGACGGAGCAAGTCACGCTTGGTTGCTGGATTCGCTCTACTTGCCAAAGCCATCCGGGATCCTCTTTGAGGGAAATCACGAAGAAGAGTCACAGTCACAGCATTTTTCTTGGGTACAAAGAGATTCCCTAATTCACGAGCCCTGGCGTCGTTCAAACCTTGAGTGAGTAGCCATCATCACGGGCATCATCAACATCTCCAACGTTTGACGCTCTGCTACGCCAGACGTTTCTCATGTGCCACTTGCGCTTGGGTATTTCGTCAGCATAGGCACTTGTACGCATGCTGCTCGGACAAATCCATTGGCACATCTGCGATTTGCCTAGGCTCTACCCATCCATAGTGCCATCATACATAACTCGCACTCTGAACCCTAAACTTTCGGATCCTGTTGGTTCTGTTGGTTTCGATTACAAAAAGCGCCCCAGGCCTTTGGGTCTCGCTGCCCATTGCAAGAACAGGGTCCCAGCACACCTCATGCCGCATGCCTGAAAAGTGCGGCGTGCTTCTGCCGGCGGTTTTTCCATGGCTCTAGTCAAGGGCACGTAAACCGGCCAATAATCATGTATTAGCCCAAAGCCTACACTATAACTCCTAGGACCAAAACCCTTGAATGGGTACTTGGACCCTCTCTGGGTAAGGCCATTGGAGGACAACACAACAGCCGTGTTCGTCATGATCTCTGTGAATCGCCACGCTAGGAGCTCGGAGCCCCAAAATGCTGAGAGACATAGGTACCCATTGGGGTAATATTAGGGTTGTATTGGGGTTATACGGGATAATGGAAAATAAAATGGAAACTATAGGGGTTTCTACCCCCAACATCTATGGAAAAATGGCCTTTCGCTATGTTTTTGGTTAATGGACTTTGGGCCATTGCTTTAATTGCCTACTTTTGGGCTTCAGGTAAAGCCCGCAACATCAGGTATTCTTAGTTTAGTGCGATTGTAAAGATGAAGAGAATATGCCTAAACCATCTTAAAATTCTAACCCTAAACCCGAAATATGCAGTACCGCTGCGATGAGGTGTTCTGATTGTCAGGCAGAAAGCAGTTCTTGTTACCAGGGCTACTACAGTACGGGTTGCAACGCTATGTCGTCACTCCCCGCAACCCTTTCGTCTTAGATAATATATGATATGATGGTTTGTTGCGGGAGGGGGAGGGGGCGTGCCTAATGTTATGAGCGTTGGCTTGCTTTTGGACCAACTGCCAGGGCCCCGCATGGCGCACCCTGCTCCCTCATCAGTTCACGACCTTTGACATCGACAACCCTTTAGTTGCCTCAAGTCAAAGTTGTCCTCAGTAAATGCCAAGCCCCTAAACCCCATACCCCCTTACGGGGCACTCATTTGAGCCTTGGACAAACGACACTTCCCGCAAAGTTGATGGCGCGGCTAAACCCCTCCAAACCTTAAACCCTCAAGAAAGCATGAAGTGCTAGGCCTTGAAGTAAGCCCCGGAGCTAGTTTAATCCAGGTCTGGAAGGGACAGCAAGCCATAGGGTTTAGGGTTTAGGGTTTAGGGTTTAGGGGTTCAGGGTGTCCAAAGCACGGGGAGTCTCTTCTGGAAGTCCCATGGAACTTATAGCCTAGGTTGGGCCCCCACCCACTGATAGTGATCACAAGAGGTATCGGTAATTATATTGGGGTCCTTATATATTCCTAGTATACCACTATGAGTGGGTGGGGGCCCAACCCAACTTATAGCCGGGAATGTGTAATATCTGGGGGTCCTTATATATTCCTACTATAGCACTATTAGTGGGTGGGGGCCCAACCCAACTTATAGTCGGGAATGTGTAATATCTGGGGGTCTAAGCGGGATCCGACATGTCTGGCAACTTCCAGATGGCCGCTCTTTTCGGCGTGCTTCTTCTTGTGGGACGCTGGTACAAGACATCAGGGCCTGCAGAAAGGCAGAATTACCTTGAAAAGATTCATGTCCATTTCTCTGAAGCCTGAGCCTAGGGGCTTATGGTTTGCGGTAAGTTTAGATAAGTAGATGCTACAAAGCTGGAGAATCAGCCCCTGTCCCATTTAGGGAGCCCTAAACCCTAAACCTTAAACAAGACTTAGCCAAAAAGTACTCGCGTCAAACCTTCCTCTCTCCATGTTGTAACTTTCGGTTTTCCCGCCGAAGACCTAATCCCTAAACTACCCTCAGCCCTTGACTTAAAGTTATCATTGCCCTAAACCCGAAAGGGTTTAGGGGGTTTAGGGTTTAGGGGGTTTAGGGTTAAGGGTTTATGCAAAGTTGGCTCAAAGTAGCCCACTGCGCCTAAAAAGGCCGCCCAGGAGGAGCTTTTAGGATGGCTCCGGCGGCGAGGTCGGTCACACGCGCGACCGCCGACGAGGAGGTGCTACCTAGATGTCCTACCTCTAACCAGGGGACTTTGGTAACACCAACCCAGGAAATTTGGGTTTAGGGCTTAGGGTTTAGGGGGGTTTTGGGAACCCCCAGCGCCCAAAATTTGGACCCTATGGCTATCATATGATGGTTGTAGGGTCCCAATTTCGAGGGTTGCTGTCATCCCTTACGTTCACTATTGCTGCGTGGGGGGCCCACGTGAGAGATACAGTTACAGCGTAGAAAAGCGCAGGACAAAATCCCCAAAACGACGTATCTTCAGGGTTTAGGTCTTGTTTTCGGGCTGAGGGTTAGGCATTGCAAACGTTTGGGGGCTTATGTGTAGGGTTTAAGATTCGTGGCTTGCGTTTTAAGTGCCGGGGTTTATCTAGGCTTACGTTCTAGGACTTAAATAGCGAGTTGTAACTGTACTGAGTGAATCTACGCTGAGGAGATTTGCCTGTGGGGTTCTTGATTTCTTCAAGGGGGTCGAACTTGCCAGCCTAAAGTCTCATGCCGTCCGTTGGGGCTCCAATGGAAAAGAACCTTGAAGCTGTTGTATTAGAATAGGGATTCTATAGGGGTTTTATAGGGAATAATGGAAAAGAAAATGGAAACCTTAGTCTAGAAAAAATCCTAGTCTAGATCCCTTTTAAAATCGAGGGTTCCAGGGTCCTCTAGGTTTGGGTTTAGCGTTTCGCGGGCTTTTCGGGTCTCAGATCAGGGGTCCCAAGGTTGTAGCCCTATATGGGGGTTTCCCAAAATTAGGGGGCCCTACTTGTGGGAAGCAACCACACAAGGTCATACCGCCATTCTCTTTCTCCAGTATGACCACGACGTAACAGTACCGAGATAATCCCTGAATCCTGTCTCATATGGTAACCCCAAACCTAGTGCACAAGGAAAAGGGGCCCGTCCAGTCAGGGAATCCTTTTGAAGAACAGCTTGAAAAGCATGGGGTCTCATATTGAGGGAATCAACTAGCGATCTTAGGGGTAAAGCGATGGAACCCACAGCTCTGAGCCAAAAACCCTTATGATAGGCTTCCCTTGTTTTCCTTTTGTCCCGGTGCGGGGTGGGAGGACCACTCTTTGAGACCCCTTTGTGTCCCTTACTTGAAGGGTCAGGGGGACTTAGTATGCATACCTATCACTCCTAGCAGCTATCCCATTCTTGACCTACTTACTGAGTCCCCTGACCTTGCAAGCAGTCTCACATCACGTTGCTCTGCGTAATGAAAAGAAGATCTAGAAGGACTCTGTACTGTGCCTGCAACCCACATTTGACAGGTTATGCCTTCTGCTTTGATCTCTATATATACATATAGTCAGTCATAACGCGACAACATGGATTCCTTAGCATTTAGGTAGGGAGGAGGGTCTTGGGGTTGGGCCCTTTGAGGTCGCAAGACTCGAGAATCAGAAGTTCAGGGCTTCCGCTTGGTTTAGCGCAACGTGATGTAGGGGTGAGAGTAATTAGGTCGGAAGCTTAGGCTGATTAAGGGCTTTAGAATTTAAGCAAGTTCCAGGTAAACCTTGCAGCTGGAACCTCCGACCCTAAACCCAAACTGGTGATTCAAGCTAGGTGGGGGATAAAAACGGATAGACCCGTCAAACCTGTAATCCTAGACCCTAAACCGTACCAGGAGCGACAGTGAGTAGGTTAACAATGGGATAAGCGGACTTCCTATATACTTGCTCCGGCTCACCAAGTTTCGCCAAAACACCAAGTAAGCCTTTGTGCAGAAGGTCGGAGGAGTAACCTGCGGCTGTTTCCAAGTTCCGGAATCACATGAGTCCTGGGAACTCGTGGGCAAAGGCACGATCTAGATCTAGGGTTCACAATCTAGGGTTTAAACCGTTTTTTTCCAAACATCCGGCGTCCGGCAAAGGTATAGACTTGGGAGATTGCTGAGGGGTTTGAGGGCTCTTTCACGGGCCTAACATTGAGTTTGTGGAACAGAAGGCGCGTCATGGCTCCTCCCAGTTTTGGGTTCCTTTGAAAGGGGTTCTTTGTGGTAGGACCTCAGCACTTTGAGGGTGTAGGGTTTAGGAGATGGTGTCTTGCTCCGGGAAGAAGGATCCAACATGAGGAAGGTTCAGTCTACTGTGCCTCCCCTTGTCTCATTTTGCAGACGGCTTAATGTGCTGGTCGTGACACACAGGCTCCCATGCCATATCATAGGCAGGGCTGCGCATGCGGCAGAACACAAATGCAATGGTACGCCCGGAGTCTAATTTAGCACACGAGCTATAGTAGAAATCCGTAAAGGGGTTATACAGGGATTGTATAGGGGAGTATTACAGGATTACAAAGGGGAGACTCGTAGTTTAGACTACAGCTCACATGCTTGTTGTTGCAGGTAAAGGCTCCTACAACAAGGTTGAGCAGGTTCGCTACGTGGGCAGTGGCCAGGGTAGCTATACCCAGGAGCTCGTCACAACACATGATGGCTATCAGATACCTGGACCGCAACCAGTACTTTGTTGCAGTGAAATGGGGCATCCTCTCACAATATTGGAGTAAAGTTCTTTCATGTGATTTTTCGGGATCCTAGGATACGGCCTGCCTTCATAGCCTGCTTTGGGAGTGTGGTTCTGCTTGCAATGTTTGCGACCTTCTTCATCGTCATGAGCCAGAATGTCTCCGCTGCAGGACACGATGAATTGATCCAGCCGTCTTTGGTCTATGACTGCTCTGAGGGGGCTGATTATCGTCTATGGTCTCCAGGGCAAAAAGACTTCTGCTGTGCCCATACCGGACGTGCATGTCCGCATGCCGATGAACGCTATGATTGTGATCAAGGGTATGGTCACTGGAAAAACGATTGGTCTCGAGCGCACCAGCGCTTCTGTTGCTACAAGCACCAAAGGGCTTGCAAGGTGAAGGTCGTTCATGAGACCAAGTTTGTACCAGTTTACCACACGAAGTTTCCAGGCTTTAATTTGAATGTTGCTTTGGCTTGTTGTTGATAACCTCTATTTCGTCCGGGCACAACCCTGAAGACATGCATGTCTATAAAGCGTCCAAAGCTGGGAACAGGACGGTGAACAAGTATGTCAAAGTGCCGGTCCAGGAGAAATCGCCACCCCATTACATATACAAGACTCGCTACAAGACGATCGTGCGCCACAGGTGGCCGTCGATCAAAAGACATAGTCTCTGCATGCTAGTCGTTTCCATGTATGACTGGAGTAAACTCGATGAGGACCCTTCATTGGGATTTCGACTTAGACGCATGTTGCACGTCCTTGCAGGTTAGTGGGACGTCATGATTTTTGTTGACTGACTAGTAGCTGAGTGGTGAGCTTTAACTTTGTTGGGCACATAACGCCCCATGTTAATTAAAAGGGTATTTCTTCGAGCCAAGAAATTCAGGAGCTAGGAATACCCATAGCCACATGAAGGGCACAAAGACTCCTCCGCAGGTATGTGCCCGTCCCAGTGCCTGCACCTGGCAAGACGAAAGTTGTCGTGAAGCATGTTGTGGAGCGCGTGCCGGTTCCGAATGTCGTTGTCAAGCATGTTGTGGATCATGCCCCCATGGTAGTTCATCATACAGGTGGCCTCGCTCATACCAGCTTCGTGTCCCACTATGACTGTGACGCAGGTTCGCCGAACTCAAAGGAGGGTTGGTCGGCCTTGAAAGAATGGTGCTGCACACATCTCCAGAAAGGCTGCGATATGTTTTCCCCTTGCGAGGCGCCTTGCATGTTGACTGGGCAGGTCAGCCACGAAGGCACCTGCGCGAGCAGCACGCGGTGGGCCTCTGCAAGCATGTTCGCGGGGCGCGTTGATGCATGTCAGCTGGCCCTGCACGAGGTTGTCATGAACTGTGATGTCTGCCATGATTGCCACATCCAGGACACTGGATGCAAAGCGCCTTCAAACCCTGGCATGAGCTCGCACATTCGGTACGGCACGAATCTCGCCCACTCCTTCCATAGTTGGCACCATTTAGGCAAGCAAGAGGAGAAGGTCCTTACAAGACATGTGTTGCCCGGCTGCTGTTAAGGAACTTTAAGATAAGCTACAATAAGATGCTTATGTGGTAATTCATATAGTTGCTGTATGAGTGCAGAATACATAACGTGGTTTCCCCATATGGTAATTCATTTTCGGTTGTCAAAATCATGCTCCAATTCTGTCTGAGCCCCCCTATACGAATGGGTCGTAGTATGCTGGTCCCAAGAATATTGGGATGATATAAGGCGCGGCCACAAGTTTGACACCGCAAACCAGGTTGTCCCGAGCTCATCACGCAGCAGCCTTCAACTGCGACGCAACAGAGTCCACATGGTCAGTCCCAAAGGGCATATGGTGTTGCAACGAGAAAGGCATCGGATGCGAACATTGAAGGCAGACATGATTGTCGGCCGCACCATTGTGGCAAAACTGTTGATGGATTTCCACCATCCTATACATACCTACTTCATCAAGTCGTTGTTCCTGAGTCTGAGAGTCCCCAATGCTTCGGAGGCTCTGTCCAAATGGGCAGACCTCGACCTCAAATCTCCAAGTTCACGCGTCCTGCAGCCACTCTCGACCCCAAGCAGCAAAAACCCGAAATCTAAAGACAGCGAGAAAACATGAGGATATAGGGCTTCCCGTTTATTACAGGCAACCCTTATGAGAGAGTGGTCGAGGACCAACGAAGAGTCCCAAGGCTTAGAAGGCTGGATGTCCTGAGGTGCAAAAGACCACCTCTCTTGAGGATTGAATCTACCCAGGGGTTCTGGTTTTAAGTTTAGGGTTTTGGGGTTAGCGTTCCTCCGGATTCTACCGACAGATGTCTAAGACATCGGCATTGCCCGTAAGAACTGCATGGGGCATTTTTTGGCTCGAATATGTAGGCATAGCAGGGTTGATATGAGCTACTATCAAAATGAGCCATATTAAGGGACCCTTATCAGTGGACATGGGTGTCCCTTTCATTTATAATTTAGCATAGTCCCCAATATACTCCCTAATAAGGAACCCATGTCCATTAAAATGTGTAATTAGGACATATTGACTGTAGGTCATATGAGTTTACTTGCAAGCACCGTCTAGTGGACTGAATGGTGGCATTTTGTTCTGGCATATTGGGCCCTGAGAATCAGTTTCCATGCACATTCCCGTATGAGCTTCTTTTGATTTCGCATTATCGGGGTGCTACCCCAAAACCCTTGGCCCAAGTGTAAAGAGGAGAAGCACTGGATCATGCACTATATTCTTCATCCGCCGGTACATTCACGATCCTTTTCCTCTCCAGGGAAGGCAGTTTCTAAAGCCAGCAAAACCTCTGATGGTTTAGGGTTTCAATTTGACACGTATAGAACCAAGCTAAGGGCACCTTTTCAGGGCTTGAGAACTCAAGGCATCGTGCAAGGGGTTGTCTTTGTTAGGTTTTCCCTCAGGAAACAGAAGCCTCTTGTCAGCCCCCCGACAGCCTCAAGCCTTAATCGAGCTTCTGACAACTAGTCAAGTTCACGGTTTTTGCACTCTATTTCGGTTTAGACCCCGCATGGCATGAGACCCAATTGTGCCAGAAAAGAGGTTTTAGGCTTCCAGGGTGGAGGGTCTCAGGGTGTAATCCAGGGTCTATCTGAGATTAGAAGTAGGGACCCGTTGCCTGGACCCCTTCAAACACCCAGGCCTACAGGTCCTTCAAGGGCTCTTTAGAACCCCTAAGTTAGGCCAAGCGCCCACAACCCTAAACCCTACACCGTATAGTGATCCTTATTATGTTATAAAGGGCCTGTTACTTAGGGAAGTTTGGGCCTGACTGTGGGATCCTTGGGGTGTAGGGGTTCGCCTTAGGGCTGGGGGCTTATGGGCGACGTGTAGGAAAGCCTTGCAAATCAGGATATGAGAAGGGCCTCAGTCATGAGTAAGTATCAAAGAAGGGGCCTCGTCTTTGGGGACTCCGCAATGCACCACGCATGCGCCGCCCTATCATTGAAGGCCCTGTAGGGACTTTGTAGCCGAGTGAGCAACCTTTAACCTCTTGGGCATTGGGTTTAGGGTTTTGGGCATAATCCCCCTTAGGTAGATAGAATATGGGGTACATTATTGGGGTTGTATAGGAAGAATGGAAAAGAAAACAGAAACTACTATATCATGATAGGGTATATATTGGGGTTATAATCCCAAGTACTATGGGGTATATGGGGATCTTATTCCAATATACCCAAAGCCATATTCTGTCTACCTAAGGGGGACTAGAACCCTAGTATGGTTGAAAGGCTAACTTTTTTTTGAGCTAGGAAACTAAGCGCTTAGAGGGGGCCCAAGTTTAGACGTGCACACTTCGACGGGTGTCGGTTTATTGAGAAAACAAGTCAGGGATGCACACTGCACAAGACTTTCAGGTCTGTAGATGTGCGGGGGTTACGGGCTCCAAGGTTCAAAGATATGTGCATTTCTACGAACAAACCCCTGACATAGCCCTCTCCCTACATAATTCCTACACGTCCCTGGGGTCGCCAGGGCCTCCCGTATTGGAACTGCCTGATGCTTCCGAGGCATACCATTGCCATTCCTCTGCCCGTTCCGAGCTGAGCACGAACATGTGGAACATTGGCTCCGAAGGCTAGCAGAGCACCCGCTTCTATATTTAGGATGCAGGGGTTGTAGGGTTTAGGAGTTGAAGTCTACGGATTCGGGGTTTGGGATTAGGTTTTATGGGGTGTAGGGATTAACTGTTGTTGGGATGATGTTGTTGATTGTTACAGCCCTTGCTTATCGCTATGGTTATTGTGACCCATCATTGCAAGCAGTGTTCTTCTCTTATGCCAGCTTTTTTTTGGTACTCCGCTGTTTCGAGGGCTGGGACACGACGGACCGGACTGTGAACTCTTTAGCCTAAGCTCCCTAGCCCTGAACTTAGGGTCTGTGGAGCATGTGTTGTTGACCATGGCTTAGCCGGAAACACCCATATGAATATGTATCTCACATGAATGATATGTTCATGTAGAACAGCAGTAGGGTGTCTGTGTATATATATATATAATAGAGAGAGAG